CTCTTTTGTGTTAGTTTTTAAAGTTTATTTTGCTTAAGAAGTTTTTATGGTGTAAAATTTGCTTTGGGGTTTTCAAGAAAACCTATATTTCCTTAAACTTTTGAGTATAAATACAAGATTATCCATCCAAAAAGTAGTATAAATGTTTTCATATACTACTTCCTTAAAAACTAATTAGGATTGAGAGTTTTACTGTCTGTAAACTTTGAAGCTACATTAATAGTCTTTTTTTAAGTGATTCTTTTCTAACATTGTTTGTTTGTTTGTTTATGGTGCTTGGAATCAAACCCAAGGCCTTGTTTATGATACCTGGAAAATTTTTGGCAACTACTTATGAATAAGTGGTTTGCAATCATTTTGACACTAACAATTTCTTTATTACTAAATACACTATTCTTTTAGAGAGGTATGGAAAAGTGTTTATCTGTCTGTTTCATTTTCTGCTTTTGAAAAATCAGAGTAGGAAAGAAAGCTTTTAGCTAAATGTAGGTTATGTATAATTATATTTCTTTGTTTTTCTCTCATTTCTTTTCTCATTGCACCACCTCCTGGAAGAAGAAAATTATGCATCTTCTTTTGATTCAGACTGACTTTTCACACACCACTTCCTCCAGTACTAGTTGGGATTCGCAATTTACTGTCTTCACAAAATTTCAGTCTGAATTATCGATATACTCTTTGTCAGTGCTATTATGAGTTTTGCTGCTTATTCATATCACGTGAAGTTGTTTTTAATGTGTTCTGGCATTGCTCACTCTTGTTAGGATGAATCTACCCCCGATTTTACTTTTTACTCATCCTTTTTCCTCATCTGTAATGATAAATAGAAAATCAGATCAGGAATGGATATGATCGCTGTTATCCAGGTTGAGTATAGCTTATACTCAATATTGTCTTTTTTTGTTGTTGTTAAAATTTGAATCTTATACCTATTTGATAGTGATATGAGAAATGTCCAAATTAGCCCCTTAATGGGCATTTAATGCTTGATTTAAATGTTACTTTTCTACATAGACAGTCAGTACAGACATAGCAGGGTAGAAAAGGATATTATTATATTTCTTTTTTTAAAAATAGAATCCAAAATTTGTGTATACATGATATGTATGAAATTCTTTTCAGTTTCTTTTTGGTACTGGGCCGAACTCGGGACCTTGCACTTACAAGGCAGGTGCCCACACCACTGAGCTAAATCCCTGGCCTCCAGTTTCTTTTATCTGTTTCTACTTCAGTTTTAAAGGTATTTTCAGCATCATTGACAAGAGCTCTTGCCATTGACTGCTTATTTTTTCTTGAATTATGAACTTCTCTTTGGTAAAACATTTGTATTCCAAAATGCAGCTAATTTTTAAAAACATTAACACATGTTAACTCCTAAGGAGTTTATTGGTCTGTTTGTATCCACTTTTATGAACTAAATGTCGAACAAAATGATCTGCCTTCTCACAAGGATAAAAGTAGAAACTGCATTCCCATCAATGCATATATGGTTTCCTGTTCATTTTGGGGTGATTCAAGTTGTGAAAATCTTTACTGTTTGCTGAGTTGCTGAAGTGTTAGACTGGAAATATCATTTTAACTTTTACCACATTTTTTTCTAAGGTAGCAGTTGATCCCTACTTTCCATTTCATTAATAGGGACTTTTAACATTTCACTTTACTGTTAGGATTAACTAATGGGTTTTTCATTAAAAATGAGTGGGTTTAAAGCTATATCTTTTCAGTAGGTGAAGTTGTTTATATTATTTTCTGATTTTAGAAGTCCTTTAAGTTAATCATAACACAACCATTCTTTCAGTGTTAAGAGACTTTTAACTTTTAGGAACTTTGGAATATTTGAAGATGAAACTTTTTATTGTCTTAGAATGAGCATGGGGAGGACAATTTATGATGTGCTTTTATTTTGAGA